CCAAGAAAAACATCATATCCTATGGTCGGTCTTCGGTTGCCTAGAGATCCTGCACAATTTGCATCCGAGAAACTTGCAACTCTCATGTGTCCAATATCTGAATAGAGAATTCTCTTGCCTGGACTTTTTTTAAGAAATCTAAGAATTCTGATTACAGCTGTAGATGGTTAAAATACCTACATCTAAAAAGTAAACTCTCATGAGCTAAATACTTCATATGGATTCCAACGCAAGCCCACGACAAAGCTCGCCCAAGTTACATTAAAGTTCACTCAAGACAAGGTGAAGCTTTAAGTGAAGTTCCCCAGAATGAATTCCGCTCTAATAGCCCACATGGGCCACATCATCAACACCCTAAATGAAAGTGTACTGCCTACTTTTTGGCGAAGTTTGGCTGATTGAATTTCATCCATAATCACCAAACGAACTTCGCCTACAAAAGTTGTTGGTGAACCTCACCATTGACCGTTTCAAGAGCTATTTTTAAGGGAAACGATTTTTCTCCATCATCTCATAAGTTAATGGCCATTTTAATTTCTAAATCAGATGCACCAACAAAAATGGAGGGTATTTTTTCAAAATGTTTAATCACATGAGGCTGCTTTTACTGTTCAGGATAATTTGAAAATTATATATATATATATATAGAGAGAGAGAGAAATGGAGAAACTTGGTACCAAGTTGCTCCAAGCAACTTGGTAGTGATGTGGCCTAATCTTGTCCCTACATCTACATTGGAGTTGGTGAAGGGTGGTTGAGGCTCTATCTTCGAGGTGTGATGTAGGGGCAAGATTATGCCACATCATTACCAATTCTTGAGCCAACTTATTTACCCAGTTTCTCCATTTCTCTCATATATATATATATATATATTATAATATATATATATATATATATATATATTATATATATATATATATATATATATATATGATATATATATGAGAAATATGGAAGAATCTTGGGTACAAGTGTTTTCATGATAACTTGCGTAGCGTGGATGGTGACGCAAATCACCCCCCTACATCAATGCTCAAAGATGGAGCCTATTTAAAAGTAGGTGAGACTCTCTTCTTCGAGCGTGATGTAGGGGGGATTGGCCACGCTCACTACCAAGTTCAATTGAGAAACTTGATACCAAGTTTCTTCATATTCTCATATGAGAAATATTATATATATATATATATATATATATAATATATATATTAATAGATATATATATTATATATATATATATATATTTTAATATAATATATATATTATTATATATTCTTTATGCAAATTTCAATACTTGAACTCAGTATCGGAGCTATGAGATAAAAGTTTTCTACCTTTTACAATACTTTATCCAGTTTTCTACCTTTTCCTCACCCTTTCCCCTCCCCTCCCCCTTCCTAGTTCCTTCCCACATATTAGTTTAATTCTTTAATTAGATGCACCAGTAAAAATGGAGGGTATTTTCATAATGTTTAATACTATGAGGCTTTCACTTTTCAGGACAAATTGAAAATAATACATACATTCTTATCCAATTTCTAAATATTCAACACAGTATCGATCATGGGAGTTGTGAAACACAAGTTAGAACCCAATGAATATAATGGGGAAAAAAGAAATTATATAGCAAACTCATTAGCTCTTATCATTTAAATCATGCAGTATTTATGTAACACCCCTCATGGAGGTACATAAAAATTTGGGCAAGACCCGTCTGTAATAGGAAGGGTCGACCTGCTTAACCTTTACGTACATATCTCTCTCTCTCTATATATATATATATATATATCTCTCTCTATATATATATCTATATATATATATATATATATATATATATATACTGAAGGGCAAAAATAAAGTAGTGAAGATGTATATGCAATACTCATGATCACAAGGTTGACAGCAGAGTCCATAGAATACCAGAATAGAAGAAAACTAAAGGGAACGATAAAATATTACAATAATGATAATAGCTACAAACATTAGTACATGTTTGATAAGTCAAAAGTACTACAAAAGTGAATATAAATTAACTTCTACGAAGATTTTCCTCCGGAGCTAATCTTCAAATTTAGGGTCTGTAATCCCCTTATCCTTGTCGATTGTATGACCTGCGAATGGATACAGAAATAATAAGGGTGAGCCTAAGGCCCAATAGATAACCATAAAAAATCTCGGGTACAATATAAGGGGATGAATGAAAAGGATAGTCATAGATATTTGAACTCGAATGAAGAGAGCTCAACATTAAGTTACCCTACTTATATCATGATCATTGATCGAAATAAAATAACATGTCAATATGAATAATCAAGGTCTAATATTCATGATTCCAAATTTCCCAATCATAGGATAATCAATAAACCACACATGCCTTTATACACCCACCGGTAAGCAACCTCACACAGGGCTTTATTCCCACCGGGACCTATTACTATTACCACCCATCGGTGAAGCTTACTTCACACAGAGCATAATCCATGAATGTAGACTATCAATCATCAACAAAGAAAGGAATACTATCATTATCAATAGTCGAATTATCAACGCAAGTCGAAATGCTACAATATAATTATTCAAAGGAATATCAATGGTATAAAACCAAAATAAACAGATAGCAATGGTTAAGCAATCAACGAAGAACCCATGCATGAAGTCAATCAAATAGGAATATTATGAAAGTGATAAGATATACAACTTAGCATGTGAAACTAACTTGCAGGAATTTTAAGAAGTAATCAATAGAACTCTCAAAGACTTGAGAGGAGACAATGAAAGGTTACCTACCGATTATGCCGGGATCCTCTCGGCCAACGAACAAATCCAAGATTCTTTGTCCTATATACACATACATGTATACCCACATGAGATTCTAAATACTATATCTTTTATAATTTTTCTAACTTAAAACTTATATCATGGTATAAGCTACACTCTAGATGATTACGTCCAATATCTATAATATGCACATCAGCAAAAGTAGTGTATATGCAGCAGTTTGGGATGGGTGAATGATAGAGCAATTGATATCCAAAATACATGAAACTAGTTCCATATGACTCTAATATGAGTCTACTTTCAGAATATAAAAACTTCACATCAATTATATAGTAAGAGTTATGCTCTCAGCAAACTACACCTATCAAAACTATAGTAGAAAACAAAACATATATTGCTATCTGGAATAAATAATTCATTTCGGGTACTTAACACTATATAAATGAGCTCATATTTGACATACAAGTAATATTATGGATTAGCTTCCAAGTCCCATGAGTTTCATCAAACTTTCATTTCTATAACACATGTTACATGCAAAATAACACCCCGGCCCCCGGGGGGGGGGGGGGGGGGGGCAGACTGGAATTGCCAGTGTATATGCTAGATTGGAATTTCCAGTGTATATGCTATCTATTAAAACCAAGCTTAGACTTATCAAATATTATCCAAAATAATTCAAACTTAAGCCAACAGAAAGATGATTGAGTCTAGTTCTAGGAACAGAAAGAATGCTATGCGTGCATAGCACACATGGAGAGTTATGTTCTCTACAATGAATATGACTTTGGCAAACTATTTCAAATACATGCATTACATTTAACTATAGTTTCGAACAAGTATTTGATCTTAGAATTAAACAAAAGAGGTCTCAAAAGAAATCTACAAAAGTCTAGTTTCTGAAACAGGAAAAATATCCATATTTGGATATGTATAGAGAAAGTTATGTTCTTTTACTAGGAGAGTATCATGCTCTAATTTATGTATGAATAATTATATTACGTAAACCGGCATGCAACCCATGTTTACACTAATTCAAAGCAAGATAATCATCACTTGATCACATTGGGCTTGAAAACCAGTAAATGTCATATTTTCTATGTTTATAGATATAAAGATCATATTTTTATAAGTATTCATTGACATGCAAGGGCCAATGCTTGCTTCAATGTAATGTACAATGGTAAATCCTCACATGCAAGACCAAAAATCCAATTAAATCCTATAATTTCAGTCTTATATCCCTAATAACAACATGAAGAACAGAATTATAAGAAATTATACCTAGATTTGAGACTTTGCTCCACTTCCTCCTCCAAAATCCTCAATCTACCTTCTTTCTCCTCTCCTTGTTCTATCTCTAGAGCTTGAGAGATGAAGCTATGAAATCTATTTTTTTTTAAACAAGAGGAGAGGTGGAATAAGGTTTGGATTTTTTTTCTTTTGAAAGTGACAAAAGGAGAGGTGGAGTGTATTAGTATATAAAGCCCATGTGAAGAGTAATCTTCAAATTTGGCCAAAGTTGAGGGTTTTTATGCAAAAATTCACCCACTAACATGGTTGATCAAATTAAACAATTATGTTAATTAGGGAGTTTCAAAATAGGTATTAAACAATTGGGTTATCTGTAATCAAATTTTAAAGCATGATTAGTTTAGGTTTATGTGCTATATATGTTTGTATGCATGCTATGACTTAGTAACTAGATTATAATATGAGAATTAACTAAGTAAAATCGTCATAATAGAAGATTATATGGGATACAAGGAAGGAAAGAATTTATTGATTTATAGATCGGTATCGGTAACGATATCCAATCATCGGAAGGAAAAATTTGCAATGTTACAATTTAGGTGCAACGTCCTATAGTCATTTGATTCTGCATAATTTACTGATATTCACAGACTTGTTCTCTCATGGCAGAAAGGCTTTGAAGTTGAGAAAGAACAGATAGCTCAAAACCCTGATATTCAAGAATATGATCCTTAAAAATAGAAGGAAGAAGGCTAAAAAGTAGGATGTTCTAAAATACGATTAGCACCAATTCTACCGAAGATTATCTAGTTATCAGGTAACAATTATGATTAGCACAGATTCTACTGAAGATTATCTGATAAACTTGATAGCCTTAACATCTGTCGAGGCATAATAGTACAAAACCAATTAAAGCTATTGGGTTCTGTTATCATATTCTTCAACATAAAAGTAATTATTTGTTGATGCAGGGAAGAGGGACATCATTATTACCATCATAGTTATCTTCGTAGTAATCGCGTTCGTGCTTGTCTTTGCTGTCAGCGTTTGGCTTAAGAGAAGGTCAACAAAAAATAGCCGTGGTAAGTACAACACTTCAAATTCACTCCGTGTAGTCATTTTGAAATAATCCGACAGTACATATTGTCTTCTGCCATTTTTGTTGCGTGGATAAGAATAGAAACATTTAAAAGTATATTTGATTATGTGCAAATGGTTAAGCTAAAAGAGGTAACAAATGAAACACCATACCAACTTGAAATGTGCATCTGGGACACAATATGGTCTGGCAAATTTATCCTCCAGCAGGAAGTTCAGTTGAACTTTGCGGCATAGTTGACGAACATAAACATGCTGTGATTATGTTAAGCAAATTTTGTACAGTGCATAACATATGTAATAGCATTCACTGTTCATCTAAGCGTGATTATTCTGCTTTATTTGGTTATCTTGATAGTTCATAGGTATCAAAACACTATGTGCACAAATAATTCTATAGTAAAATATCTAGCTTATTTAATATTATTTGAAGAAATTTCCAATTGGAGATGGTTTTGCATGTTGGAAATATGTGCTTGTTCTGCTGTTAAATTACTTTTCATTGTTCTGATGTTAACTGACCTTTAAACATTGCAGAACTAGTGCAGCTCTTAAGCAGCTTTAACTTAAAAAGTAAATTAGTTGTACTATGTATCTTCGCATGAAGAGAAACCTTTAAAGTCCATGTCTATTTGAGCATTAAACATAACATGTGGAGCAAGTTGTTAAGTTTTTAACATGTATGCACTGTTCTTTCAAAAATTATGGTTTGCAGTTGAGGGATCACCTCAACTGAAGAGACTTCAACTTAGTCATGAAATTTAATTAATTCTCTTAAATAGATTATTGAATTACACTTAATATATATGTTATGTTACTCATAGAATACTGATAAATAACAGCGACATAAGTTACTTATTTCTAGGTACGACGAATGCAGAAGATATATCAAGAACGAGATCACTGTTCTTTGATTTATCCGTCATTAGAATTGCTACAGAAAATTTTTCCGACATCAATAAGCTTGGACAAGGTGGCTTTGGCGCAGTTTATAAGGTTATCCACAGTATCCCCTCCAATAAAACTTGAACCTACTCTTGGTTAACTGTAAATTAGTTCTTTTTTTTCTTCCTGTTTTGTTGTCTAGGGGATGCTTCCTAATGGAGAAAATATAGCAGTGAAGAGGCTTTCAGTAACCTCGAGGCAAGGAATACAAGAACTGAAAAATGAACTTCTGTTGGTTGCCAAACTTCAGCACAGGAATCTTGTTAGGCTTCTAGGCGTTTGTTTGGAAGAAGGAGAAAAGCTGCTTATCTACGAGTACATGCCCAACGGAAGCTTGGACAACTTCCTGTTTGGTATTTCCCTTGCAAAATTGAAATTGACATAGACAATTCCACTACATATTTCGCCCAGAACTCCACTTTAACTTCTAAACTGTTATATATGAAATAATTACAATTTTCAAACTTTAAAAAGAATAACAACTCCATCACAATTAATCAATTCGGATTAGCAGACACAAACACACTGACATGAAGGCGCTCGGACACACAACTTTCTTCATGAAAAACAAGGATGTGAAGCAATTTTCTTCATGACATGTGACATATTCCAATTCATGAAAAATAAAAATGCTTATATATACAAAACATATTGACTGATTGACCAATGAGCAACCAGAGCAACCAAGTACATGCATTCAAATAAACCACGGAAATGCTTAAAACCTAAGAATTGGACTGCACAAGCTTAACATATTACGAATCTTTGATGGAATATAATCATGATATGTGGTTAAGATTGGTACTAATGAATGGTTAGATTTTCATTTCTACCTAGATCAAATGCCTACCTCCTTACCTCCTAACATCTCGTACTAACTTATTTCACCAAGGGGCCGTTTGTTTTCGTGTATTTGGTGGGTTTTGCATAGAAAAATGGAACCCACAAGTTCAAAATCCTAGATTTTTATCAAATACATTGTTTATTTGACACTTTTCATGCCTCGAATTTAGGTTTGCCATGTGGGATAGACGCATCAAATATGATTCCTTAAAATTATGCTGATTCCATCTAAGTTTGTGATTTTAGACACAAATTCTCAACAAAATTAATGTGCAACCAAACAAAAGTTGGTTGAATTTTATTCCCCATGTAAATACTCTTTAATATCTATTGCAAACAAACAAGACTTTTCAGTATCGATTTTTCAAAATACCCTACATGTACCACAATGCTATCCATGAACCAAACTGGCATTAACTGTTCATCTTACCTGTATTAGATCCCAGCAAATGTAAAGAGTTAAACTGGGAAAGAAGATTCAAGATTATTCGAGCGATTGCTCGCGGTCTACTCTACTTACACGAAGAATCTCGCCTAAAAGTCATACACCGAGACCTTAAGTCCAGCAATGTATTGTTAGATGCAGACATGAAGCCAAAAATTTCAGATTTTGGTTTGGCCAGGCTATTTGGAGCAGCTGAAACACATGGCATTACAGGGAGAGTGGTCGGAACTTTGTACGTTTATCTTTAATTAGACGTATTACAGCGTCTATTTCTAGCAATTGGTTTGGACCTGTGTAATTCTTTTTTTTCCTCTCCTAGTGGATACATGGCACCTGAGTATGCAAGGCGTGGGAGATTCTCAACCAAGATGGACGTATACAGCTATGGAATTCTAGTTCTAGAGATCGTGACTGGGAGAAGGAATATTACCTTCAGATATGATTCTGAACATGGCCAAGATCTCCTAAGCTATGTGAGTAATTGAGTATGAACTTATTCTTAGGTTCTACTTTGCTAAAGATAGAATCATAGACACAGAAGCAAACAAATGAATCAACTTATTGTCAAAACAAATGATCTAGAAGATGTGTGTGTCTATACACACACACACTAAATATATAGGAAGCATTGGATATGAAATAGCATCTTACTTTTGCAGAATGAGCTGCTAAGAAATAATAATCATCTTCTCCGATGTGACTAGCAAGATGAAGCACATCATACGTGTAGTTCGTTCAACAAAATAAACTATCACCTTTTAGCCATTTTCTCCATAAACATACACACACGTGCAGACATACAAACGTAGCATGCTTTCAAACCGTATATATATACAAGAGGAAAAGGAACTTCCCCGAGATGAATAACGACTAGAATCTAAACTTAAAATAATTGTTTATTAATTATATTTATTTTGGATTCACTATTAAGTGTTTAATAGTCTATTTATGTATGCTAGAGTTCACATGTACGTGATTTTTTCACTTTCAGACATGGAAGCATTGGAGAAAGGGAATATCATCAGAGATCGTTGACCCATCCCTAGGTGAAGATTACTCGAGAAATGAGGTGTCCAGATGCATTCAAATCGGACTGTTATGTGCTCAAGAAGCTCCAGCTGACAGACCTTCCATGTCCTCCGTATTTCTCATGCTAAATAGTTCCTTGATGCCTCTCCAAGACCCTCTACCGCCTGCTTTGTTGACTACGACAGAATCAGACTTGTCATCAAAACTGTCATCGAAACAATCGTATCTTGCTTCTACTGGCGGATCCTCCACGAGTAAGTAGCAACGAATTTCAGCAAATATTGTTCTGAAACTACACATAACCTAGCTAGGTATTGACCCGGTAAGATTATTAGTGCTAACTGTAAATGACCAACTAGTAACTTAGGGTACTTGCCACTTCAAGATGGACTTTCATCAAAACCTAACCAATTATTGGTGATGAATCCGAGTATTGAATCTCAAATCTTTCATAATTTCATGAGTAGTTTACTATAGAACAACAATCCATACTTGATGAATTCCTGCTAATAACGTATATCAATCCATTAGATGTGGACAGTGTTGGCAGCTCCCAACAGAGTGGACCTGGCATCATGCTGACCCCACTGGAAACGAGCCAAAAAGGGAAGGAAAGGGTGCAAAACAACCTCATAACAAACCAGAGCATCCAACAACCACTGGATGCAGGCACGGCCATCTCGACTATCTCAAACAGCCCCCGGTGGCCGTCCCAATAGAAGTTGATGATTGATTAATCCTTATGACACCAATCATTTGATACTGCAAGTTCCTTAAAGGGACCCCAAGATAACAAAAAGAAACAGCAAGCATTCACAAAGCGATTGTGGATGTCTCAACAATAGTAGATGCCTGAATGAGGAAATGGAGGGGGATTGTTTTCTTTGAATCTTTGACACATCAAAGAGAGACATCATGCGTAGCTTGTCTCGTTATCTGTCCTTTGTCCAATGCATAAATGTTTTAGATTTTTTCTTACTCATATGATGGTCATTTTTATCTATATAATGAGATACATAGAGCTTGCATGCTATTTGCTCGTGCTCGTGATCATCTTTCCCAAGCATACACAGGCTTTCATTGGTACATGTACATGATGCAGATTTCTGGTGTGACCCGGATATAGAAATTACATAAGCAAATCAAGCTTCCGTATGAAACCAATTAAATAGCAACAATAACAACAACTGGTATGCACAAGATTAGCCCATTATATTATTTTCCGTCTAACTTACGCACAGTGCACCCTTGACTTGGCATTACAAACTTGATGGGCTATAGCCTACGGCATCAATCTATATGTGCTAAACATCCAACTTATAAGACTAAATATACAATGGAAAATAGAAAGAGAGGAGAATTTAGAGTCGAACCTCTTTAGGGCTTTTTCTCAAACGGGTTGTGGGCTTATCAAACATTAGGCTAGAGATCAGTTCCGGTACATAGACCAAATGATACAATGCGAATAAAAATTCCTAAATATCATGGAGACATAGAACAACATATAAGTTATCATGCTTGCATATCCATCATTTGAATCTTCAACAATTATTCTAATAATTACATATCCGCGCAAGTTTGAATTTGTGACATGTACAAATAGAAGTAAATTGAATATTCCTAGCAAAAATTCTGCCTTTTACTTATGGGGGATCGACAGTAACGAGAGAGATATATCAAATTTGAGCTCCAAAGTTGAGTAAAAGTATACTAAAAGCCCTTGAATTCATTAAAATTTAAAATGGGTGAATTTAGGGATCAACCAGGTGTTTACTTATTCGCTGCTGCTGGATTACTTATGAAGGCTATTTTTTTGTGGGTTATTAGTCCTCTAAATCTTGAATATTTTGAAATTAGCCTGTCAAATAATTAAATTGCTATTAGGCTCATGAAATCGTGAAATTTAAGCTTTTAAAAAATTACTTACCAGTGGGTTGAAACCACTAAAAATAACCAAAAATCGTATGTTATAGTTCACCAAATTGTGAATTTTGATTTTTGAAAAATTATTTGTTAATGAGTTGAAATAACTAAAAATAGTCAAAAATCGTGGGTTATAGCTCTTGATATCGTGGATTTTGGCATCCATAAAATTATTTCACAGTAGATCGAAATGATATAAAATGGAAAAAGATCATAGACTATACCTGATGATATCATGAATTTTGGCTTCCGGGAAATTATTTGACAACGGAATCTGCTAAAAATGAAAAATCATGGGTTATAGCTCTTGAAATTGTCAATTTTGGTATCTGCAAAATTATTTGCCACAAGGCCAAAACAACTAAAAATTATCAAAAACTAAAAGTTATAGGTCATGAAATCGATGATTTTGGACTCCACAAAATTATATCCCGATTGGTTGAAATAAAAAATGGCAAAAAACAATTGGTTATAGCTCATGAAATAATTAAAAATAGCCTAATCATGGGCTATAACTCATGAAATCCTGAAATTTAAATCCCACAAAATTGTTTGCCAATAGGCCGAAATGACTAAAAATGGTAAAAAAATTATTGATTATAGCTCATAAAATCGTGAATTTTGGCATGTGCACGATTATTTGTCAATGGGTTCAAACCATTAAAAATAACAAAAAATTGTGGGTTGTAGCTCATGAAATCGTGAGTTTTGGACTTCACGACGTTATTTATCAATGGGTTAAAATAACTAAAAAAGACTTAAAATCATGGGTTATAGCTCATGAAATCATTTATTAATGGCTCTGATGTGTAATTTTATTTATTCTGCAAGTGCACAACTTTCGTTATATACTTAACAAGTCAATCCACAAGCAAAAATTAGTTAGACAAATTGATCTTAAGATCCTAAGGTTTGAAAAATGTTTTGTGTTTGAAGGATGTTGGTTTTTTTTATTAAAAGACCTAAACTAGATTGCTTAGACTAACTCCACTACATTTTCTGGATCTTTATTTAATATCCTTTAATTAATGAAATCCTAAAAGGATAAGCTATGTTTCGTTAGAAACTATAACTTATAAATTAGTTAGTCCTAACAATTAGACTTTTTATTATTAGGGTTTAACTTTGTTAGAAACTATAGCCTATCAATTATTTAATCCTACCAATTAGACTTTTTATTATTAGAGTTTAATCTCTTAAGTGTAGGTTATGCCTAATTAAAGTCTATAACCTATCAAATTATAATTAAGCCTAGCTTTTTAAGTTAATTAATCTATATTTTTATGTTACTAGGGTTTAATCCCCTAAGCATACGTTGTGCCAAAATTAATTGTCTATAACCAATCAAATTATAATTAACCCTGACTTTTATTTGTTGTAACTAATCAAATTCTTTTCTTAACCTAAGGGGGTCTTTTTATTAATCTAATTTAGTTACCTAGCTTTGTTAACCTATCCTCCCTAAAGGTGATTAGCTACTCATGATTAATTAAAGAGAAAAGAGGATTATAGAAGAATTAAATAAAAGAGAAGGAAGAACAAGAAAAATGAAGTAGAAAAACAAGAAAATAAAAATAAGAAATTAAACACCTTACTAAGAAGAAACCAAAAAGAAAACTTGAACTCCAAAATAGCAAGTAAGAAGAACTTTATTGAATTCTCAGAAATTAAATGTGTAAAATATAATGGTCGTAGACCCCTATTTATATTGTACAACAATCTCTCGCAGTCATGAGATTAAACATGATATTCAAGTAACCTTCGCAACCATGGGATTTCAATTGGTTTGCTATTGGTCTGCTATTAATTGAATATTTCTATAATACAAACAATAGTCGAAAATCTGATCAAATTTAAATTTTTGCAGAATAGGATATTGGTAATAGAAGTTTAGGAATCTGCCAATCTGGATGGAATCGTCTCATCGAGATAAGTGATTTTTATTTATAATATGTTAGATTTTGACTTCTAGATTAGGAGAAATTACCTTTTCTTTGAGGTTGATATTTTGAATCTAAAATTGACTTAGATTTTAATTTTGTTGGTCTCCATTAATTGAATATTTCCTTCTTTTCTTGATTCTCTACTATAGATTTGATTATGGCTTGATTGCTTCTTCTAAAATTTAGGCCTTTTGGCTTCAATGGCCTTCTCTTTACTCAAAATCTATTTTTCCTAAAAATACCACAGTAGCAATTGAATATATTAAAAAAATAAAGATATGGAGATATAAAAATAATATAAAATATGCTACTCAAGTACCCCCATACCTAAACTTTATTAACCCTCAAGCAGAGAGAGAGAGAGAGAGAGAGAGAGAGATCCTAGCTCACTTTCCCTGGAATCGTTATTGCATTTAGCATATGCAACAAGTCTTTAAACCCCTAGGTTACTCTAGTGGACGAGTTTAGTCTCATAAGAGTTTGCAGTGAATATACCTACAACATTCAATCACTTTGCTAATTTGAATTAGTCAATATACAAATAAACTTTTTATCATTATTAAACAAGCTAGTGGTAACTAAGATTAACTTAAGAAAACACTTTTATAAATAAGTCAAAATAAATTTCTTCAAAATTCTTTTCATTGTAACATATTATATGAATAATTTAGCAGTTTATTTTTAGCTTTGATAAAATTATGCTTGCTTATCCCTTCAATTAATTTCTCAAGTATTTTTGATAAAAATTAAGCACTAGCTAAAAAAATTATTTGAAGAGGAAATTTTTATTTTATATTTCTTTTCATTCTTTAGTGATTTATTTCTACTTTCTCGAGTTTTTACTAAGTGACCATGTAATGAGTTTTAGGCCAATAAATCCCATTAGGTGGACTTAGGCCATTAAGCAAGAAAATACTCTAAGGACTCAATTGCTTAGTCAACTTGGGGCTTTGATCTCGGCCTCGGCCACCCGATGGTCGGCCTTCTCTTCTCGTGTTGAGGACTCATCGTCAACATGGACGGCTTCGATCACAAGCTTCGGCCCCGCCAATCCAGTGGCTATGTCGGTTGCTTGAGCTTGGACCTCCGTCGCCTCCCCAGGGACCAAATCCCAACGAAGGCACTTCATCGGCCTTGTTGAAGGCCCTTCCTGGGGCCCCTCCTGAGTTTCAATAGGTAGATCCATCTGCGCCTCGGCGGCTTCCTCCGGACCTAAAGTCAGCATTGACGCCCTCGCATCGTCCTCAGATGAAGGATGCATTAAGGAGATATTGACTACTCGCAAGACCGAGTTGTCAAGCAAGGCTTCCATCTTACAAGAACCCATGTACGCTTTAATCTTCTCCAGCGAACATCTCTCGGCACTAGACGATGGCCCTGCCTTTAGAGCCACTCTAGAGATCTTTGGCCAATTAGAGCAACCCAAGTTGGAGTCGTCTCCCAAGACACATACAAACCTCTCCTTCTTGTCCTTGTTCGACTCAGGATGGTCGGTGATTATCTTGTATCCCCCCAGTGCCTGAAGATGATAATGAGGCTCACACTGATGCACATTGACACTAACAAGGTTGTCAAACAAGTTTAAGGTTGGTTCGACTCCCAGCCAGTAACAGATGACAACGAACCTTACTAGGGTAGCAATCGAGTTCGGCTTCATCTGCATCTGTGATACGCCCAAAGTCTTAGAAACACAATGGAGGAAAGGATGTAGGGCAGGCATAAACCATATATTCCAAATGCTTCATGTACACCGGAGCCTGACTTGCATTATGGTCAAAACCCGCCTGTGACTTCGCTGGCGTTGTCAAGGTAAAAGCTCGAGGAATGTCGAACTTCTTGTACAGAACCCTCAACTGTGACAGGGTAACCTTGGAATGAAAGTTCTCCAACTGGCCTTGTCGAACTCTAACAACAGAAGTTGTCATGAGAACTATTTCAGAGATTGCCAGAGAAGATGAATGATCAGAATTTTTCCTCGATTAAAATTTAGAAATCTTCAAAAGCAATAAACTTTCCTCTTGTTGCAGTAACCATATATATAGGCTCATAAATCGAAATCTGATAGAATCCTAATGGTCAACTTCTCACCCAACCAATGGTGGACATCAATCCCGAAAATTAAAGTGGCCACTCCAGAATCGAAGCACTCATTGCCTTAATTCGACCA